TGCTGTTAATAAATGTATCGATAAAAATAATAAATGTATTAGAAACAATATGCCTAAAGTGAGTTAACAAAGCAAAATAAATCCCACTGCTACATCATTCCATGGCATAGTCCGTCACTTTCAGGATATGCCAAAAATCCATTCAAGAACCTGCATAAGTCTAAATTGAACAAAAGAGACAAATATTTCTGGAAGAATTTAAGAAAATAAACTTTACGAGGTGAATCGAACAAGGAACTAAAAATAATTAAGAGACTCAAAAGAATTTAAAAAAACAAACTCAAAAGATCTGAAATAAGCGAATCGAACCGCACCATTACCTTCATAAATGAAATCGGAGAAAAGAAAAATAATAGAAAAGTTACCTTTGGTTGCAAGATGATGTAGCGTCAGCCGGCAGTCGGTAGTGGGCAGTCGGTAGTCGGCACATATCACTCAAGAAAAAGAAATTTATGAATCTACAGTATAGAAGATGAAATGTGATTCGTGGAGAGGCACGGCACAACTTTACCAATTGCTAAGGAAAATAAGAATCCGAGAAGGAGTTTGCAATCTGCGATAGAAACCTGAGGGAGAAACCGACAGAGAGGCGAGTTTGCGGGGTTGCCGAATAATTTCGAGGGAAGGAACATATCAGGGAGCGCAAAGTAGAGATGTCGAGTCGTGGCAGTGGTCGAGCGCGCGTTAGAGCCTGGAGGTCGTCGCTAAAGAGCAAAAACTAGGGCAAGTAGAAATGGACAGCATGAGATCGCGAGAGTTATGCTTAGGTTCTTCTAATTGTTGTTTTAATTAAATAAGTAATTCGTAAGTTCCCAAAAAAAAAAACAAGTAATCGTTAAATTTAAATAATTTATATTCTAATTAATTTAATTATTAGATCTCTCTTCTTAAAAAAGTGAATATTAATTTCAATTTATCATTTTATTTATTAAATTTAATTTTGAAAATATCCATAAAATCAGAATTTGTATGGAGGGCGCTGCCCCCGGAAACTCATGCAGGGGTGTTGCCCCTTGACCCCGTGACCTGACTGGGAAGACGAACTCGGCAGGGGGCGCCGCCACCTTGGACATCCAGCATATCTACGAAGCGTACGACGGTCAATGATATGAACAAATATGAATCAAGCCAAATTCAAGGCAACTCCAACATATCTTTTATAGAAATTGAATGATTAATCAATTACATCATTTTATTATTATTTGTTTTGCAAACAAATCATCCCTACTTCAACCTAAATTTTGTTTACGAATAATTATCATTATATATAATGTTAATGATATTTTTACAACGTAGTATGTACTATAGTAAAAAAAATATAATTTGTCACTAAAATGATATAATAGAAATTAACAGTTAATTTTTCTTTTAGTGACAAAATTAGCAGTCAATTTTTCTTTTGGTGGCTAATATCTAGATTCCTTATTATTTAGAGGCCACACTTATTTTTGGTCGCTAAAAGATATCTTTAGCGACCAAATTTTTTTTGTCTCTAATTTTTTGGTCGCTATTAACCCATTTTCTTGTAGTGTATAAGATTCATGGTATTTCTTCTACTAATGGGATTGTTACAGATTATTTGGAAATTGGTAATCTTTTTTAGTGTCATTTTAAGAATAGCATTAATTCTCCTATTCCTATTAATGCTACCTCTTTCAACATTTTGGTGGACAATGTTATTCCATATTGTTTAAAAAATGATTTGGTTCTTTCGGTTACGGTAGAAGAAATTAAAAAAGTTATTTTTAGTGGGACAAATTCTTCTACACTAGGGCCTGATGGTTATACCTTTGAATTCTTTAAAAACACTTGGGACATTATTGGTAAAGATTTGTGTAAGGCTGTTCTTTACTATTTCAATAATGGCAATATGACTAGAGCAGCAAAAGCTATGGCTACAGCTCTGATTCCTAAACGGAGTCATGCTTCTGATGTGTTGCATTTTAGGCCAATTTCTTTATGTAATATTTTTTATAAAATTGTGGCTAAGATTTTGGCGAACATGTTACATTGTGTTATGCCACACATTATTCATAACTTTATTCATGTTGCTGAACTTCTTAGAGATTTTAATCGTTCATCTATCAATAAGTTTTTCTCTGTTAAATTAGATATTCATAAGGCTTTTGGCCTTCGGTATCTAGAGATTTTTCAATTTCTAGGCTGGCTCAAAAAGGTTTTCCCAATATTTTTATTTCTTGGATTAAAGGTTGCATTGAAGATGTGCATTTCTTGATTATTCTTAAAGGTTATATGCATGGGTTTTTTAATTCTTCTTCGGGTCTAAGGCAAGGTTGCCGGTGTTCTCCTTATCTCTTATGTATTATTATGGATGCTCTTTCCAATATTTTGGATGATGGCTCTCTTACTGATTGCTTTGAGGGGATTAAGTCTGAAAATTACTCTCTGTCCCATCTTCTTTATGCGGGCGATTTGCTCATTTTTGGGAAAGGTACTTTAGAAAATGCTCGTAATCTTAATAAGATTTTGAGTTACTTCTCTTTGATTTCAGGTTTGTTTATTAATCCGGATAGAAGTTCTCTTATTATTTCTAAAAAATTTAATTTAGAAGCTACTATTAGCTTTATTCTTGGTATTAGAATATCTTTGTATCCTTTAAAATATTTGGGTTTACCTCTTTCTGGTAAGAATGTTAAAATTTCTGATTTTCATTCTCTTTTTAAGCGTATTACGGTTCTCTTAGAAGGTTGGAAAGCTAAATTGCTTTTTTTTCTTGTAGGGTTCAATTCTTTAATTTTACTATTTTTAATATTATTTCTTATTAGATTATAGGTATTGCTTGACCCAAATATTGTTTTAAAATCATTAGAAAGCTTGCTCTAATTTTCTGTTTCATGGTGATCAAATGAGTAAGAAGATTCATATTATTGTCTGGGATAAAATTTGTAAGCCTAGAGAAGTTGGTGGGCTTGCTATTTTTGATCCTGGAGCCCTCAATTTTTCTTATAACTGCTCTCTTATTTGAAGAATTATTAATGATATGGGACCTCTGGCTATTTGGATCAAATTTAAATATAATTCTTTTCTAAAACCTTGGTCGTCTTCTGTTTCCCGGTTCTGGAAAAATATTATTTCTACTGCAAGGGAAATTAAAAGTAAAATTCATTTTAATATTTTTCCCAATAGTACCCTTTCTTTATTTTGGGATCCTTGGTGTATGGGGATATCTATTCATGAGATTGCTATTGCTGAAAGGATTTGTTTGTATACTTATACTGGGAATTTTGGTGACTGGATTTTGCTTAACTGCTGGTCTTATCCTCACTTTTTGCTAGCGAAAATTAGTTATATTGTTTCTCATGTGGCTATTTCTGATTGTCAAGTTTCTAATATTTCTTGGAATAATGTTCTTATTCCTTCTTTTAAGATGTTTATAAAAGTTACAATGTTAATATCAATAAAGTGGATTGGTATAAGCTTATTTGACATAAGAGATATGCTTTGAGGTTCTCATGTTATGCTTGGTTGGCAATGTTGAAGGGGCTCAAAATGACAAGAAATTTGGTTAAGAGAAATCTGAACGTTTCTACTACTTGTATCCTTTATTTGAAAGATGATGAAAGTCATAATAATCTCTTTTTTGAGTGCGATTATTCTTTTAATATTATTTATAGTTTCTTACCTCATGTTAATTTTTCCATTTTTTAGGCCTAATTTGGAGCAATTTTTAGATTATATATTTTCTCTTAATATAAATTCTATTTTTAAGAATATATAATTATTTTTTATTTGTTGTTCTATTTACTTCATTTGGAAAGAGAGAAATGCGAGAATGTTTGAGAATGTTATTACTAATTTTGATATGCTACGCAAAAACTATTCTTTTTAATATTTTTGCTAGGATTGCTTCTTGGAAGTCTTATAATTCTATTATAAGTTTGTTGCATTAATTTTGGATTTGTTTTTCTGGGTTTCTTCTTATTTTCTCGTGGTGTTGTTTGCTTTATTTGTTTTAGTTGGTTTTGGCTATAATATAGGGTTTGGGCTACTCCTCTATAAATTTTTTGTTGTTTTTTCTTTCTTTGGCAACGAGGTTTCTCTTAAACCTTGGACTTTGTTTTGTTTAATTTTTTGGGCATTGTTACTTGCTTTTGTTTTTGTTTGTGCAGGGTGATTTTTTGGTCTCATTTTGTTGGAGCTGTTGGTCTATGCTGGTTGATTCTCTAGGATGTTGGGTGCCAGCTTGAAGATTGAATTCTGTTAGCTTCATTCTTAATTCTACTGGGGAGTTGGATTTTCTCTCTGCTCTCTTTGGTACTTCTTGAAAGCATTTGGGGTATATGTGATTGGAGGTTTAATTATATTTTCTATATTTGGTGGTACTTTCTCTTGTGGAGTATCTTGTATGGAGGTTATTTGATATTGCATCCTTTGTTCGGGATTACCTTTTCTTTATGGGGTTGTTCGTTATTCTTAATTTGTTGTATAGAAGCTTTGCTTCTTTTTTTCTGCCCTTAAGGAGTTTTTTCTTTTTTCTAGTTTAATTTTTTTGTGTGAATTTGTAAGTTTTTCTTTGTTTTTTCTTACTATTCATTTGTAATTTTTTATTTTTGGAATGAAATTAGGCATTTTTGCCCCTGTTTTTCTCAAAAAAAAAAAAAAAAAAAAAACTGACATCATTTATAATTTGTTCTTCATTTATTTTTATTTCCGGCTAAAAAAAGAAAATCACTATAAAAATTTATCCTTTACATTAAACCTCAGATCCAGTTAGGAAGATCTGAGCACAGCAGGAGATTAATAATTTGCAAGTTAAAATAATATCACGAATCCTCGCTTTCAGCACCCTCCTCCATGTTGCAAGCTATCGAGATATTCATCTGCTGCCACTAGATATATTCTAACATTGTCCGTACGCTAGAAACTGTTCTACCAACTCATCCTAATCGCTTCTTCGTTGTCATCTTTCTTCTCTGCTTTAAATCTTCAGCTTCAATCTACTGAGAGTACACGTAACAGAGAGAGAGAGGTAAAAATAGATGAAGCTACTCTGCGATGTTTGCGGCGCCGACGAGGCCGCCTTGTTGTGCTGCGCCGACGAAGCTGCCCTCTGCTACTGCTGCGACCGCCGGGTCCACCGTGCAACCAAGCTTGCCGGCAAACACCCCCGCTTCTCCCTCCTCCCCTACACTCAAACACACCCTCTCTGCGATATTTGTCAGGTCAGCGAAACTTGTCTACTTCAACAAACTTTATAAAGTTAGCTTATGGTGTTTTTGTGATTGGTGTGGTATAGGAAAAGCGGGGGATTGTGTTCTGCACGGAGGATAGAGCCATACTCTGCCACGAATGCGACTCTCCCATTCACGCCGCAAATGGCCTTACAATGAAGCACAGCCGTTTCATCCTCACAGGCATTGGCCTCTCCTCCGCCTCTATTACAGCATCCTCGCATTCGTCAGAGCAAAGCATCAATAAAAAGAAAGTCTCCCACTCCCAGCTTTTCTCGTCGCCCACGGTTGAGTGCAGCAGTACCAGTAGCATCTCCGATTACCTGATTAAAATGCTGCCTGGCTATCAGGTTGAGGAGTTTCTACTCGATGACTCCATGAATTACACTGCCGGCGATGTCTTCTATCAGGTGTGTGTTCATCCGTATTTACGTTATGAATATAATAATAATAATAATAATAATAATATAACGCAAAAAATGCACAATAATATAAATTCTCAAATAAGAGGATTGTTTTTATTTTTCTCTTGATTCTTCCTGTTGCGTCCTGGAATATCTCCATGAATTACACTGCCGGCGATGTCTTCTATCAGGTGTGTGTTCATCCGTATTTACGTTATGAATATAATAATAATAATAATAATAATAATATAACGCAAAAAATGCACAATAATATAAATTCTCAAATAAGAGGATTGTTTTTATTTTTCTCTTGATTCTTCCTGTTGCGTCCTGGAATATTCGCGGCGGTAGAGAAATATATAATTTAACGTCTTAGCGTTGTACGAAGATCCAGCACACAATCAGATAAGTGAGAGGGTGTAGCGTTCAGAAGAAACACCAAAGTTTTTACGTGGAAAACCCCTGAAAAAGAGAGAAAAACCACGGGGCCTGGCCCGGTTTGAATGAATCCACTAGTATTTGTAGTCGATTACAAATGAGGCCCTTCCTTAGGAGAAGGCCTTGGATTGATGTAGCAAATGTACATCATATAGATTGCATTACATGGTAAGAGTTACATATACAAGTTTGTTTGGCCTGAAGGACCGTAGTCGGCAGGAGACCGTGGTCGGCAGGAGACCGTGGTCGGCAGGAGACCGTGGTCGGCAGGAGACCGTGGTCGGCAGGAGACCGTGGTCGGCAGGAGACCGTGGTCGGCAGGAGACCGTGGTC